GTCGGTTGATGCGTTGCGTTATCGGTGGTGGTACGTGTGTGACTGTGTAGGGTGACGGCGTTCGTGCGGAGTTTGGTACGTTCTGTACTGCGTGGTGACTGGCTGGTCTGGACTGTGGTCTTGCTGGACGTGCTTTCGTTTGAGCTGTTCTGTCTTTACTGGTAACCTTGTACCGTTTCGTGTACTTCTATGTGTACTGCTTTCTTTACTTCTAGTTTGTACTTGGCTGTTCTTGTACTTGTTACTGTCTTGTATTTCTTTCTACGTGTCTGTTCTTACTTGCTTGATGAGCGTTCTTCGTGCTGTTCTTTACGTCTTTCGTACGTCTTTCGTCACTTCTTGTTACGTCTTCTTTGACGTTCTGTCGTTTACTGCTTGCTGTGTACTTCAGTGTTTACTTCTCTTTACTGGCTATTACTGCTTTCTTTACTCGTGTTTCGTTACGTGGCTGTCCTACGTTCGTGCTGTTACTTGCTGTCTTGTCTGTCTGTACTGCTGTACTTTACGTCTCTGGCTGTACTTGCGTTCTGTACTTCTTACTGTCTTCTTTGCGTTACTTCTCATCGTCGTGTTACTTCGTTCTTTACTTCTATGTTTTACTCTTCTGTCTTTCGTTTCGGTCTTTCTTACTTGCTTTCTTGTACTCTCTTTCTGTGCCGTTCTTACTCTTTCTTTACGTTCCTTCGTTACTTGCTTTCTGACTGCTTTATTATGTACTTCTTCTTACGCCGTTCACGTTATGACTTCTTCGCTGACTCTATTCGGTGTTACTTCTACTTGACGGCTTGTACTTCTGGCCTACGACGTCTTACGTTTCGTCTTTACCTTCATGTCACTTCTTCTATTTCCTTGCTGTGTACTTCATTGTTTACTCTTTACTTGACTTGCGCTTTACTCTTTCCGACTCGTTCTTTACTTCTATTCGTACTCTGTCTTTACTTCTTTACGCCTTACTGTTCTGTCTTTACTTCCTTCTGTACTTCTTTCTATTCTTCTTTACTGTCTTCTTTATCGCTCTTACTTCTATCATACTGTCTTTCTTACTTCTTGTTCTGTACTCTTTCTTTACTTCCTTACTTTACTTCTGTACTCTTTACTGTGACTTCTTCTTTACGCGACGCTTATGCTTTCTTGCCGTTCTTACTTGTCTTACTTCTGACTGTTTATGCTATTCTTTACTTTCTACCTTCTTCTTCTTTCTATCATGCACTTGCTTTCTAACTCTTCTAATTTGTAACTATCTTTCTTACATCTTCTTCTATTCTCTGGCTTATGTACGACTTCTTACGGACTGCCTTACTGGGCTTCTTACTTCTTTCTTGAGCTTCTTACTTTCGTTTCTCTCTACTGGCTTTCTTACGCTCTTTCTTACTTCTGCAAATACTCCTTATTTGTACTTCTCTTTACCCGCTATCTAACCTTCTTTACTTCCTTCATTGATTTCGTTTCTTTCTTTACCTTTTCCCTACTTCTTCTTAATTTTTCCTGCTCTCTTTACTTATGTCTTTACTTCTGTCTTAAATTTTTGTCTCGTACTTTACTCCTTTAGTGCCATAAAAGTCTACACTACTACATTATTAATGACTATAATACTATTATTACTATTATTATCACTATTATTACTATTATTGATCACTATTATTACTATTATCACTATTACTAGTATCACTATCAGTACATTATCACTATCATACTATATCACTATCATGACTATTATCACGTATATTCCTATTATCACTATTAGTTCCTATCACACGTAGTATCACTCTCATGTACGATGTATCACTATTAGTTACTATTATCACTATTGATTACTGATGATCACTATGATGTCCTATATCACTATTGATTACTATCATCACTATGATTTATATATCACTAGTCATTGACTATGATCACTATCAATTACTATTAACTATCTAGCTATTATCACTATGTATTACGATGACTACTGATTATTCACCAAGTTACGAGTTACACCCATCCGACCCGGTTTCCCATACCCCCCCACATAAGTTTCCCTGACCTCCAGATCACGCTACCGCCACTCCACCCCGAGCCTTCCTACAAAATCCTGACCACCCACCTATCCTTCCTACCAAATGCCTTTCACACTACCAGTGCCTGACCTCCAGTTTCCGGCTGTGCTGTGGACTCTAGAGTCAGTCGACTGGCTTGTACTGCTGTGGCGGATACTGCGTGCTTGACGTCCCTTCTGTGTACTGCGGACGTTGCTTTCTGTGACTTCGGTCGGTGACGGTCGTTGACGCTTTCTGGCCTTGCGCGGCGTTACGTCGTGTCTTGACTTCGTGCACCGTTACTGCTAGGGTTCGGTCTGGTCGGAGCGGTCTGTACGTTCTTGCGGACTGGCAGCACTGCGGTCGAGGACGGTCTGCGGAAGGGGAAGGCGGAGGGATTCCGTTCGGAAATGTGTCCGGCGGGCGTAGGTTGCCGGCTGTCGTGACTTCGAGGCGGACGCGGGCTTTACGGGGCGTTCGGGACTTCCTTCTTGGACGTTCGTGACTGCGGGCGGTACCTGCCTGGCTGATATTCGTTACGCGGTCTGGACGTCTGTCGTACGCCTTCGTTCTGTGTTCGTCCGGGAAGAACCGCCTAGGGACGCGCGGGTACGGCGAGCGGATACTCGTTCGGGACTGCCGTGCAGGAGGTGCGCTCGTGCTTTACGGTTCCTACTGCTGTGCTTAAAGGGTCACCGTGCTCTCTGTGACGTTTATTTACTCTGTCGTAATTGGTGACGCGGTCTGACGCCGGGAGGCCCATAAGTCTATCACTACGACGATGAGTGAGACGCAGAATACGATGGTGGGACATTATTATCAGCTATATGTGACGATTCGATCGGTTCACGTGAGACTATTATCGACGAGTGTCTATGTAGCACGTTGGCAGACGAGGAGCAACGAGTGGCAGGAACGTAGCGCCTCTACTGGTCGGAGGAGCACTTCAGTGTGGAGTCCGAGGAGAGCTCGTGTGAGGCCTTGCACTCGAGGATCACTCGCAGGACTGAGCTCGAGAGGACGAAGGAGCACGTAGAGGACTGGAGACGTGGTAGCCGAGGTGGCTACTATGGTGGTCGTGCTGCACGAGGAGGGAGATGAGAACGTAGCTGGACTGTAGGAGCTCGAGCAGTGACGAGGTTCTTCGAGCATGTACGAGGAGAACGAGGTGGTCTTCGGACTTAGTGTGGAGCATCCAGGAGGCGAGGTGGAAGCCCAGCCGTCCAGGGAGTATTCCCATACCCCGCCCTCTGTATCGTGTTTTCCCTGACCTCCTGATAGATCATTGCTCAATTGCCACTCTCGATCTCCCAGAGCTGTCTCCTCCCAGTGCCTGACTCACTCCAAGTGCCTGTCTCTACAAGTGCCTTGTCACACTACCCGTGCCTGACCTACAAGTGCCTGTCTCCCAACAAGAGCCAGTCTCACTACCGGGCTGTCCTCTACAAGTGCCTGCTCACTACAAGAGCCTGTTCTCTAAAGTGCTGTCAATCACTACAAGTCCTGTCTCACCCAAGGTGCCAGTCTCACTGCAAGTGCCTGTCTCTACAAGTGCCTGTCTCACTACAAGTGCCTGTCTCACTACAAGTGCCTGTCTCACTGACAAGTGCCTGTCTCTACAAGTGCCTGTCTCACTACACGAGCCATGTCCTCACTACAGTGCCTGTCCAATACAAGCCTGTCTCTACCAAGTGCCTGTCTCACACAAGTGCCTGTCCTCACTGCAAGAGGCCGGTCTCACTGACCAAGTGCTGCCTCACTACAAGTGCCTGTCCACTACAAGTGCCGTCTCACACAAGTCCTGCTCACTACAAGTGCTTCCTCACTACAAGTCCTAGTCTCTACAATTGACCTGTCTCACTACAATGCCTGTCTCACTGCAAGTGCCTGTCTCACTACAAGTGCCTGTCTCACTACAAGTGCCTGTCTCACTACAAGTGCCTGTCTCACTACAAGTGCCTGTCTCACTACAAGTGCCTGTCTCACTACAAGTGCCTGTCTCATTACAAGTGCCTGTCTCACTACAAGTACCTGTCTCACTACAAGTACCTGTCTCACAACAAGTGCCTATATCCCACTATAATGCCTGTCCTCTCACTAAACTCTGTCACTACAAGTGCCTGTATCTCAACACAAGCTGGCCTGTCCTCGAGACAATCACTGTACTCTCACTACTAGTGCCTGTCACTCCACTACAACTGCCATGTCACTACAGAGTGCCTGTCCTCTCACCTACAACTGCCTGTCACTACAAGTGCCTGTAATGTCTCACTACAAGGCCCGTTATCTCACTACAACTGCCCTGTCACTACAAGTGTCATGTCTACTCACTACAACTGCCTACACCGTACAAGTGTCTGTCTCTCACTAACAACTGCCCTGTCAACTACAAGTGCCTGTATCTCAACCACAACTGCCTGTCCCTACAAGTGCCTGTCTCTCACTACAACTGCCTGTCACTACAAGATGCCTGACTCTCACTACAACTCCGTGTACTCTACAAGTGGCAGTCTCTCACTACAACTGCCTGTCACTACAATGCCGTCTCTCACTACCAACCTGCCTGTCACTACAAGTGCCTGTACTCACTACAAGTGCCTGGTCCACATCACTAAAACAACTGCCTGTCACTACAAGTGCCTGATCTCACTCCAAGTGCCTGTCTCTCACTACAACTGCCTGTCACTACAAGTTGGCGGTCTCTCACTACAGACGGCCCTGTCACTACAATGCCTGATCTCACTCAACTAACTGCCTCCACTACAAGTGCCCTGTATCTCACTACAAGTGCCAGTCTCTCACTACACTGCCTGTCACTACAAGTGCTGTCTCTCACTACAACTGGCCTTGTCCACTCTACAAGTGCCTGTATCTCACAACAACTGCCCTGTCACTATCAAAGTGCCTGTCTCTCACTACAACTGCCTGTCACACAAAGTGCCTGATCCGTCGCACGACAACTGCCTGTCACGTACAAAGTGCCTGTATCTCACTACAAGTGCCTGTCTCTCACTACAACTGCCTGTCACTACAAGTGCCTGTCTCTCACTACAACTGCCTGTCACTACAAGTGCCTGTTTCTCACTACAAGTGCCTGTCACTACAAGTGCCTGCCTACAAGTGCACTATAGCCCTACAAACCTACATATCAGTAAGAAAGACAGAGCAAGTTTTATCAGTGCCAGCCACACTATCAGTCTTCATGAGGCACTGAAGTAGTGCAGTGCCACCAGGAGCGCTAAAACCGCAAGAACCACTGAGAGTCAGGCCTGAAGCTCCGATCCCTGTCCGCAATTCTTAAGCCAGCAGACAGTGAAGGCGAAGATGAGCCGCTGACAACAAGGAAGACGTGAATATGAACGAAAATGACAGCAGTAAGAAAATGAGCCAGCAGACAGCAGAAAAAGGTAAGAGTGCCAACAGACAAGCAGATAGCAGTGCAGCAGACAAGAAGCAGGTAAGAGTGCCAGCAGACAAGCAGGTAAATAGAGGCCAGCAGGACAAGCAAGTAACAGGTCCAAACCGATTAAGACTGCCAGCAGATACAGAAGCAGGGAAGAGTAGCAGCAAACAGTAGAGCAGTAGAGTACCAGCAACAAGAATCCAAACAGGAAACCCAAACCACAGATTCAAACTACGAAATCTAGTGACTTCTCACTTGGCAGTTTTCACACACACACACACACACACACACACAACCACACACACACACACACACACACACACACACACACACACACATAAATGAGAAGTTTCCTGCATGAAAGCATAGGGAAAGAGAACTAGAGGAAAGACAGATAACAAAATGATGGAAATAGATAACCACTAAGTGCAAGGAGGCAGAGGAAAGGTTCAATACCAAAGGATAACAGAAAAAATGGTAAAGCCCAGAGTGAGCCCATGGTTTAACTGTGGGGTAAAAGAGGCAAAGACAAGTGTGCGAAGCATGGAAAAAGGTAAAAAAGGCAAAGGACTCAAGAAAACAAGGAGCAGAGAACCAGAAACGAAATCATGATAAGGAGAGTGGCCCAGAGCAATACCGAGAACGAACATAGCTCAAAAGAAGCCAAAATCTGAACCAAAGTTGTTCTACATAGGAGAAAAACAAACAGTCAAGGGCCAGTAAGCAAGCTGAGGAAAGGAGGGAGCTTACAAAGGACCCAAGAAGATGTGATGAAACTAAACACAAGATTTAGAGAAGTATTCACAATACAGTCAGGAATGCTTCCAGCAAACTGTGGAGGTAGGGTGCACCAGCAGGTGCTGGACACAAACACTTAACCAAGGTAAAAAGAAACTGCAGACGAACTCAATACCTCATGGCAGTTTGGGCCCAGATAACATATCTCCATGACTTACTGAGAGAGGGAGCAGGAGGAACTGTGTGTGCATTACAGCAATCTTCAGTAAATACTATCGAAACAGGGCAGTTGCTGAGGCGTGGAAGACAACACATGTAGTTACAATTTTTAAGAAGGGAGGAGACAGACAGGCAGCATTAACTACAGACCAGTGTCACTGACTTTGTATAGTATGTAAAGTCATGGAGAAGATTATCTGAGAAAGACATGGAACACATTGAAAAAAGATGGGGCTCTACAGGACAGTCCAGCACGGCTTCAGAGATGGGAAATCCTGTGTCACAAATTTACTTGAGTTCTACGATAAGGTAACAGAATAAGCCAGGAGAGAGAGGGATGGTAGATGCCATCTTTTTAGACTGCAAGAAAGGCTTTTTGACACAGTACCACACAAGAACTGGTCAAAAATTAAGAGCAGCGGAATAAGAGAAATACCTGCAATGGATAAGGGAATACCTACAGGTAGGAAAACAACGTGTGTTGTACGTGGCTGAGTGTCGGATGGCGAAGTGTCGAGTGGGTTCCACAAGGTTCTGTCATAGGCCGGTTCGTTTCTTGTATACGTGAATAGACATTGATGGAAGGAATAATTCCGAAAGTGTCACTGTTCGCTGATGATGTGAAACAGATGAGGAGAATACAAGTCTGGGAGAGGATCAGTTAAGATTACAAGGGGATCTGGACAAACTAACAAGTATGGTCCACTAATGGCTCCTGAGCTTTAACCCCAGTAAGATTAAGTTATGAAGATTGGGACCGGACCCCGAAGACAGCAGACGCATTCAGGTTAGAAACCAACAGCTGCAAACGTCATTAAAAAAAAAGATCTTGGGTAAGCATTATAACGAACATGTCCCTGAGGCACACGTCAATCAAATAACTTCTGCATCATATGAGATTGGTAAACCTGAGATGGCGTTTAGGACATCTGAGTAAGGATCATACACACATTGTACACAGTGTCCGTAAGGCCTATACTGGAATATGCAGCGCGCCAGTATGGAACCCTCACCTTAGTCAAACACGCCAAGAAATTGAGAAAGGCGCAAAAATTTGCAACACAATAGTCCCGGAACTGAGGGTAATGTCTTATGAGGAAGGTTAAGGGACCTCAACCTGAAGGATACACTAGAGGATAGGAGGGATAAGAGGGACACGATACCAACGTATAAAATACTAAGAGGTAGTTGACAAGGTGGACAAGGATCGAATATTTCAGAGATGGGATACAGAAACACGGGGACACAATTGGAAGCTGGAAACCCAGATGAGTCATAGGGATGTTAGGAAGTATTTCTTTAGTCTTAGAGCTGTCAGGAACTGGAATAATCTGGAGAGTGAAGTAGTGGAAGCAAGTTCCATAAACAGCTTTAAGAAGAGGTATGACAAACATCATGGAGCAGGGAGAGAGTGAATTAGTATCGACCAGTGAAGAGGCGGGGCCATGAGCTATGACTCGACCCCTGCAACCACATATAGGTGAGTACATATAGGTGAGTACACACATCCCACTATCTGCTCTACATGTTTCGCTCTAAGGAGAGAAACGTTCTCTAATATACTGTATGATAACCCACCTGGAGATAGGAGGTTAAGTGATCTGTAGATTTCGACTCACTTCTGGGGTCCTCTTCAGCAGATACACAAGTGAGAAAAAAACAAATATTTACTGGAAAAACTGCATGCCCACTTAACGTTTTTCCGGCATATAAGACGCACTTTTTTCCCCAGTCTTGGAAAATCAGCTTGCGCCTTATTTGCTCAAAATCAGGATCAAGGGTAGACTTACCTCTCCAAGATCCTAGCCTCCCCAAGGTCCTAGCCTCCCCAAGATCCTAGCCTCCCCAAGGTCCATGCCTCCTCAAGATCATAGCCTCTCCCCAAGATCCTAGCCTCCCCAAGAGCCTACCTCCCCAAGATCAGCCTCTCCCAGATCCTAGCCTCCACTTACAAGGTCCTAGCCTCCTCAAGATCATAGCCTCTCCAAGATTCTAGCCTCCCCAAGAACCTAGCCTCCCCAAGATCCTAGCCTCCCCAAGGTCCTAGCCTCCTCAAGATCATAGCCTCTCCAAGATTCTAGCCTCCCCAAGAACCTAGCCTCCCCAAGATCCTAGCCCTTTCCCCCAAGTCCAAAGCCTCCTCAAGATCATAGCCTCTGCCAAGATTCTAAGCCTCCCCCAAAACCTAGCCGCCCAAGATCTTAGCCTTCCCCAAAGGTCCCTAGCCTCCTCAGATCATAGCCTCTCCACAGATTCTAGCCTCCCCAAGAACCTAGCCTCCCCAAGATCTAGCCTCCCCAAGGGGGGTCCCCCCCCCCCCCACCCCCCCCCCCCCCCCCCGCCCCCCCCCCCCCTAGCCTCCTCAAGATCATAGCCTCGCCAAGATTCTTCTCGCCTCCCAAGAACCTAGCCCTCCACCCAAGATCCTAGCTTCCCTCATCAGATCCTACCTCACCCATTGATCCTAGTCATCCTCAAGATCCTAGGCCCGCCCCAAGGTCCTAGCCTCCTCAAGCTCCAGCCTCCCGCAAGATCATAGCCTCTCCCAAGATTTCTAGCCACCCCGCAAGATCCCTAGCCTCCCCAGGACCATAGCCTCTCCAAATCCCCTAGCCTCCCCAAGTTCCTGGCCTCCCCAAGATCCTAGTCTCCCAAGATTCTAGCCTCCCCAAGATCATAGCCTCCCAAGATTCTAGCCTCCCCAAGATCATAGCCTCCCCAAGGTCCTAGCCTCCCCAAGATCCTAGCCTCCCCAAGATCCTAGCCTTCCCAAGGTCCTAGCCTCCCCAGGATCCTAGCCTCCCCAAGATTCCTAGCCCCCAAGTTTCCTTGGCTCTTCCCCAAAGATCCTAGCCTCCCAAGATTCTAGCCTCCCCAAGATCATAGCCTCCCAAGATTCTAGCCTCCCCAAGATCATAGCCTCCCCTAGGTCCAAGCCTCCCCAAGATCCTAGCCTCCCCAAGATCAAAGCCTCTCCAAGATTCTAGCCTCCCCAAGATCCTAGCCTCCCCAGGCTACTAACCTCCTCAAGATCCTAGCCTCCCCATGATCCTAGCCTCCTCAAGATCCTAGCCTCCCCAAGATCCTAGCCTCCCCAAGATCCTAGTCTCCCCAAGGTCCTAGCCTCCCCAAGGGTCCCTAAGCCTCCCCAAGATCAAGCCTCCCAAGATCCTAGACTCTCCAAGATCCTATCCTCCCGTAAAGGATCTTAATAATTTTCCGAGCCACTTCCAGGATCCTAGCCTCCTCAAGATCCTAGCCTCTCCAAGATCCTAGCCTCACCAAGATCATAGCCTCTCCAAGATCCTAGCCTCCCAAAGATCCTAGCCTCCCCAAGATCCTAGCCTCCTCAAGATCCTAGCCTTCCCAAGATCCTAGCCTCCCCAAGATCCTAGCCTCCCCAAGATCATAGCCTCCCCAAGGTCCTAGACTCCCCAAGGTCCTAGCCTCCCCAAGATCCTAGCCACCCCAAGATCCTAGCCTCCCCAAGGTCCTATCCTCCCCAAAAACCTAGCCTTCCCAAGATCATAGCCTCTCCAAGATTCTAGCCTCCCCAAGATCATAGCCTCTCCCAAGGTCCTTAGCCGCCCCCAAGGTCTAGCCTCCCCAAGGTGCCTTAGCCTCACCCAAGGTCCTAGCCTCCCCAAGACTCCTGCCTCCCCAAGATCCTAGCCTCCCAAAGATCACTAGCCCTCTCCAAGATCTGCGCCTCCCCAACATCCTAGCCTCACCAAGGTCCCTAGCCTCCCCCAAGACCTAAACCATCCATCCCCACGATCCTAGCATCCCTAAGATTCTAGCCTCTTCAAGATCCTAGACCCTCCTCAAGACTCTAGCCCTCCACGATCCTAGCCTTCCATAGATCCTAGCCCGCTCAAGAGCCCTAGTCTCCCCAAGATCCCTAGCCTCCACCTGACCTAGCCTCCCAAGATCCTAGCCTCCTCCAAGTCCTAGCCTCCCCCAAGTCCTAGCCTCCCCAAGATCAATACCTCTCCAAGATCTAGCCGCCCCATACGGTCATAGCCTCCCAAAGAGCCTAGCCTCCTC